GGCTTCTTATTAGCCCATATATATTTAAGTATTAATTTTTTTATTATTGCAAAGAAGAATTTTGGAATGTGGACTGGGAGCATATGAAATTTATATAGGATTTTTAGGACTATCACCATCTTAACCAAAGTTTATACGCCCAATCCAAGAGACCCTTCCCCTTGAAAGTCTTCTCAACTCCTCCTTTATTTGGTTTATTAATGGGATATAATTTACCCGATATATGTTTTTTATAGAAGGGGTCAATTTTACTCTAGGTAGCCCAATTCCCTTTCCCTCCATGAAAATGGGAAATCCTTTTTTAGAGTCTGCATCTCCTTCTTAGAAAAATTAATATTCAAGATCTCTGATTTTATGGGGTTTATTTTCAGATTTGAAAGTTCTCCGTACTCTTTTATTAATCCCATTAGGTTAGGTAACGTTAACCCAGGGCTCACAATGTAAAACACTATATCATCAGCATATGCCGCTACCTTATGCTCTGTCTCACCTATCTTAATCCCTCTAACGTCTACACTATTTCTTACCGTCGCCAATAAAGGTTCCAAGGATAAAATAAATAATAACGGGGATAAGGGGCATCCCTGTCTCGTACCATTGTACATCATAAAAGACTCAGAGAAAGACCCATTTACCTTAACTCCTGCTGTTGGTCCATTACAGGGCTCCTTTATCCAACCCATCATCTTCTTACCTATTCCCCAGACCTCTAGGGTATATATAATGAACCCCCAGTCTACCCTGTCAAAAGATTTTTCAGCATCAATCGACAATATAATTGTTGGTAATTTTTCTCTTTTTGCCTTCTGTAAGAGAAGCAATGTTGTTAGACCATTATCCCACCCTTCCCTTCCTGAAACAAAGCACTTGATCTAAGTATATACATTCAGGCATCAGCTCTTTTAGCCTCATAGCGAGCGCCTTCGCAAACAGTTTTGTATCTACAGTATATTTAGAAGTGATATAGGTCTGTAACTAGCACAAAAACTATATTCAAAACTTAGGGACCAATAGGTCTTTAAATTTCTTATAATACCCCACAGCATACCCGTCGGGTCCTGGGCTCTTCCCCCCCGCTGTATTCTTCAATGCCTTATTAATTTCCTCCTGAGAGATAGCTTGTTCTAAAGACACAAATTTTTCTTTTGCTATTATTGGTAGATCCGCTGCCTTTAGATATTCCAACTTTCCCCCTCTTTTCTCCCTCTGTAACTTTTGAGTTCTTAGATTTAACATCATACAGCTTATTATAAAATTTTTGGAAGGTTTCAGCAATATTGATGGTGGAGTAGACCAGTTCTACTTTTTCGTCTTTAATTTTTTCAATATAATTTTTTTTATTTATTTTCCTTAAGTCTTTTCATCAAATATTTTCCTGGCTTATTCCCCCACCGATAGCTTTCCTTTGTAATCCTATTGAAAATCCTCCTTGATTTCTGTTCCAATAGATCTTTTTAACTCTTCTCTTTTAAGTATGATCCTCGAATAAACCTCTGTGTCCTGTCTCTTTTTATGTGCCTGTTCTAATCTATACAGTTCTTCCGTCACCTCCTTATTTTTCTTTCCCATTCTTTCTTTTTTTTTTTGCTCCTGCGGCTATCAGGATTCTCTCACATATGCCTTGTGTGCCTCTCAAATAGTGACCACGAAGGCTTCCTCAGTTTCATTTAGCAAAACAAATTGCTCTATTTCCTCCCTTAGTTTCATCTCTATTTCAGGGTCTCATTTAGTCTCCACATTACCCTTTTGTTCCATTCTCCTCCTAAATTTAATCTCGCCGTGACAGGAGCATGACACAATTTCAATATTAGATTTAACCAATGAGTCCAATTGTCTATGCTCGATCATTATATAATCCAACCGTGAGTACGATCTATGTGCCTGAGAGAAGAAGGTATAATCTTTTTCTCTAGGATGTTTCACCCTCCATATATCCATTAACTGACTTTGATGTAACCTCTTTTTCAACATTCTTAGTTTTTACCTCCTCCTCTCTGCGCATTCGATGACGTATCCATCCATGGGTCAAGACAGAAATTAAAGTCTCCTGCCAAGACCAACGTCCCCCTCTTAAACTCCATAATTTTCCCCAACACTCCATACAGAAATACTTCTGGAATTTGATTCGGGCCATAAATATTAACAAGGGTATAGGTTTGTCCCCATATTTTCCCTCTTAAGCATAGAAACCAGCCCTCTGGGCCTGCCAATCTCTCATCCAGGACAAAACCCAAATTTTTTGAGAACCCTTTAGCTCTCTTTATTGGTGAGTCCACATAGTACCATATAGGGTAGTACCTCGAGTGTAGTTTAATATTGTTAAATGTGTCTCTAGTAAAAACACAACATCTGCTGAGAGTTGCTAAACCTCTCTAAGTAGTTTATGTCTTTTAGTAGGAGAATTTAACCCTTCCACGTTATATGTCATAAAATTAATCAAACTCATAACTATCTAATATTTCTATTCTCTTTCTTGTTCGGAGGGGAAACGGTATATACTATCCATCTCATTTACCTTCCTCCCCCCCCCCACCCCCACTCTCATCCCCTCCATCCCACTGCTCCCCCACTCCCCTTCCTTCCCTCTACCCCCCTCCCACCCACCCCAACCCTTACTTAAGTTATTAAAAAACCCTGGCCTATACATTGCCCTGGAATTTGACGTTGGATTCCCCCACTGATGATTCCTGATTTGGGGTAGCACTCTGAACATGTTCGCCTACTCCTGCCCCCAGCTCCCAGCAAGGTGTTTAAGTGTTTAATATCCCATTTGGCTTCCCGATGACCCGCCATCTCTACCTATCTTCCTTGAAGACCTATTGGGGGCACGGGGGGGTGGGGTTGGGGGTGAGAAGGAAAAAGGGAGAAGGGAAAAAAAAAGGAGGAAGAAGGAGGAAAACCATAGTTCATCCTCCAAAACATAGTTAGTTACATAGTTAGTCTGGCTGAAAAAAAACAAACTTCCATCCAGTTCAACCATCAAAAAAAAAAAATTATAATCCTATACCTACAATTGATCCAGAGGAAGACAAAAAAACCAAGCAAAGCATGATGCAATTTGCTCCTGCAGGGGAAAAATCCCTTCCTGATCCCCCAAGAGGCAACCGGATATTCCCTGGATCAACTTTACTTATAAATGTTAGTATCCAGTTATATTCTGTGTATCTAAAAAAGAATCATTTTTTAAAACAATCTACTGAGATAGCCAGAACCAACTCTTGAGGGAGTCTATTCCACATGTTCACAGCTCTCACTGTGAAGAAACACTTCCGTGCTTGGAGATTACATTTCTTTTCCTCCAGACGTAAAGTGTGCCCCCATGTCCTCTGTGATTGTCAGGGCTCCAGGGTATGACCAGAGGTCTGTGACTGACGCAGGGAAACGCAGGCTTCAGATAAGTTATAAACAATATAATTTATTAAAGACTAACAATACAAACATAAACGCAGTGCAATACTAAAACATAACACAGTGCAAACGAACCAAACCAAACCACCCACAGATAATACATACAATGCAAGCGTCGTCAGGCAGGCCGGGTCAATAACAATCGGGCAGGTAGGTACAGGGGGGTCAGGCAGAGAATGGTCGGGGTCACAAGCCAGGGATAAAGCAGGAGAAGTCAGCAGAGGTCCGGATCAGGCAGGGTCAGCAACGAATCAGACAGAGACAGGAACAGGAACAGGGATGCAGGAACAAGATACAGGGCCCAGGAAAAACACACACACCACGGCAAAGACTGCAGGTCTGGCCATCACTTAAATACACCTGCATAAGCAGTTTCAGGTGTTTGGCTGGCTGCAGGGTTGAGTCTCTGATTGCTGGGAGCACCCGCTGGCCAGCCCTGGTACTGCAGCCCACAAGGCAGGTGAGTCCCACCATTACTGGCAAGTCCATTCCTAACAGTACCCCCCCCCCCCAAGGAGCGGCCTCAGGACGCTCCAAACAGTCCTAGCTGGGCAAAATGTTCCACCGCCCGGGTCTGGTAACTGGTGGGATATCAAAGACTGGCACATCGGGCAGGACTCCGGGCAGCGGCACACCGGGCTGGACTCCGGGGTAGCGGCACACTGGGCAGCGGCACATCGGGCAGGACTCCGGGCAGCGGCACATCGGGCAGGACTCCGGGCAGCGGCACATCGGGCAGGACTCCGGGCAGCGGCACATCGGGCTGGACTCCGGGCAGCGGCACATCGGGGTGGACTCCGGGCAGCGGCACACCGGGCTGGACTCCGGGCAGCGGCACACCGGGCTGGACTCCGGGCAGTGGCACACCAGGCAGCGGCACATCGGGCAGGACTCCGGGCAGCGGCACATCGGGCTGGACTCCGGGCAGCGGCACATCGGGCAGGACTCCGGGCAACGGCACATCGGGCTGGACTCCGGGCATTGGCACATCGGGCAGTGGCACACTGGGCAGCGGCACATCGGGCAGGACTCTGGGCAGCAGCACATCGGGCAGGACTCCGGGCAGTGGCACATCGGGCAGGATTCCGGGCAGCGGCACTCCGGGCAGCGCCACATCGGGCAGCGGCACATCGGGCTGGACTCCGGGCAGCGGCACATCGGGCTGGACTCCGGGCAGCGGCACATCGGGCTGGACTCCGGGCAGAGGCACATCGGGCTGGACTCCGGGCAGAGGCACATAGGATCACCAGGCGAAGCAGCAGGCACCGGGCCACCAGGCGGAGCGGCAGGCACCGGGCCACCAGGCGGAGCGGCAGGCATCGGGCCCCCAGGCGGGGCGACAGGCATCGGGCCCCCAGGCGGAGCGGCGGTCGCCGGACTCCCAGGCGGAGCGACAGGTCTCGGGCCCCCAGGCAGAGCGGCGGGCGCCAGACCCCCAGGCGGAGCGGCGGGCGCCGGACCCCCAGGCGGAGCGACAGGTCTCAGGCCCCCAGGCGGAGCGGCGGGCGCCGGACCCCCAGGCGGAGCGACATGTCTCGGGCCCCCAGGCGGAGCAGCGGGCGCCAGACCCCCCAGACGGAGTGACAGGTCTCGGGCCCCCAGGCGGAGCGGCGGCCCGAGACAGCGGGCTCCGAGTCAATTGGCACGACAGCGGGCCCGGATCATCAGGTACCGGATCGTCTGGCTCGACAGCGGGCATCGGGTCACCAGGCATGACAGCGGGCACTGGGTCATCAGGCATTGGATCGTCTGGCTCGACAGCGGGCATCGGGTCACCAGGTATGACAGCGGCACCGGGTCATCAGGTACCGGATCGTCTGGATCAACAGCGGGCATCGAGTCAACTGGCCTAATAGGATCATCAGGCTGGATCAGTTCATCAGGCTGGGTAGAAACATCATGCTGGGTAGAGGCATCAGGCTGAATGGAGGCATCAGGCTGAGTAGAGGCATCAGGCTGAGTAGAGGCATCAGGCTGAGTAGAGGCATCAGGCTGAGTAGAGGCATCAGGCTGAGTAGAGGAATCAGGCTGGGAACAGACATCAGGCTGGGTACAGACATCAGGCTGGGTACAGACATTAGGCTGGGTAGAGGCATCAGGCTGGGTACAGACATCAGGCTGGGTACAGACATCAGGCTGGGTACAGACATCAGGCTGGGTACAGGCATCAGGCTGGGTACAGGCATCAGGCTGAAGTGCGGGTGCCGAGGCACCAGGCTGAACCACGGAAGGCAGGTTCTCAGACGGCAGGCTCACCGGTTTGGATACTGGCAGGATGGTATTGGTTGGAAAGGATTTTCGCTTTTTTCTGGTTTTAACTACTGGAGCACTGCAAGTAAACGCAGGTCTGCAAACGAATGGAGCAGCTGGAGACAGAGAAGAGCTGGAGGATGGAACAGGGGAGGGAACAGTTGCTACAAAGGGCTTTTTTACAGGGTTAAAGGCAGGATAGGTGCAGCGAGTGGGAACAGGGTACTGACATGCGGTAGATAGCAGGGCAGGAGGAGCTGTTGGGAATGCAGGAATAGAGCTTTGAGGAAATAGATTAGAAGCAGGACTGGGTTTTTGTAAGCTGACTGAGGCTGGGTGCAACAAATCTGTCCATGTCTGCAGTATGGGTTGAACAAAGCTGAGCTTACACAAAGCCTGTCTGACCAAAGACTGCACTGCGTTTATACAATCCCTTAATACCTGTGGTGAACATGCAGCATAATGCTCCAAGAAGCAATCCACATCATCCTCTAATAACCATACCAGGGACTCTACCTGGTCTGCACTAAATGGTGGCAAAAAGTCATTCTTGCTTTCAGGGGTACCAGATGAAGCCAACTCTACACAAACCTGAATCAAAGGTTGCACCTTAGAGAACTCTGTGCCCTGATCTACTAGAACATGAGCGATCCGTATACATTCTAGCATTTCATCTCGGGTATACTCCCTCAGAGTCTGATAAGCATATTCTCTGTCATCAAACACTAGCAGAGATAAATACACAACCTCATCAAGATCCATCTTTCCCAGCAACAAGCCAAGATGGCTTCCCTGTGAAGCCACTTCTGGTCAGGATTGGCCTTGGTGTAATGTCAGGGCTCCAGGGTATGACCAGAGGTCTGTGACTGACGCAGGGAAACGCAGGCTTCAGATAAGTTATAAACAATATAATTTATTAAAGACTAACAATACAAACATAAACGCAGTGCAATACTAAAACATAACACAGTGCAAACGCACCAAACCACCCACAGATAATACATACAATGCAAGCGTCGTCAGGCAGGCCGGGTCAATAACAATCGGGCAGGTAGGTACAGGGGGGTCAGGCAGAGAATGGTCGGGGTCACAAGCCAGGGATAAAGCAGGAGAAGTCAGCAGAGGTCTGGATCAGGCAGGGTCAGCAACGAATCAGACAGAGACAGGAACAGGAACAGAGATACAGGAACAGGAACAGGGATGCAGGAACAAGATACAGGGCCCAGGAAAAACACACACACACCAAGGCAAAGACTGCAGGTCTGGCCATCACTTAAATACACCTGCATAAGCAGTTTCAGGTGTTTGGCTGGCTGCAGGGTTGAGTCTCTGATTGCTGGGAGCACCCGCTGGCCAGCCCTGGTACTGCAGCCCACAAGGCAGGTGAGTCCCCACCATTACTGGCAAGTCCATTCCTAACAGTGATGACCTCAGGGTGAATATCTCTACACTCCTCACTATATGAACCACTGATGTACTTATACATGTTGATCAAGAGAGAATACATTCAGTTCCTCTAATCTTCCTCATAGCTGAGCTCCTCCATGCCTCTTATCAGTTTGGTTGCCCTTCTCTGAACTTTCTCCAGTTCCCCAGTGTTCTTTTTATGAATTGGCACCCAAAACTGAACTTCATATTCCAGATGAGGCGTTACTAATGATTTGTACAAGGGTAAAATGATATCTCTCTCTCTCTGAAGTCCATACCTCTTTTAATACAAGAAAGGATTTTGCTCGCTTTAGAAACTGCAGTTTGGCATTGCATGCCATTATTAAGCCTTGTGATTAGAGATGAGCGAAGTATTCAAAAATTTGATTCACTGATTCGGCGAATTCGGTGGAAAAATTTGATTCGAGTCGAATATATTCGCTGCGAATTTAACTTATAAAAGGGTGTTTCTAGGCTTCAGAGAGCCTTTATATTAGTGCAGAACACTGTACCTTTAATTTAAATGCCCTTGGAGTCTGCTGGGGAAGAGAAATAATACTGTTGTGAGTCAGTATGACATGCAGATGAGTGCCGTCGATCTTAGAATCACCGCACACTTCACTCATTTGGGCAGTCACGGGGCCAAACCAGAGTGTGGAGCCACAGTGTGGCGGTGGAGGCAGCAGCAATGGGAGGCCATACAGCACCCTATGACAAAAATGGAAACCACCAGCAGTGTGAGGAGACCTGAAAGTGGCACATGGCAGAGTGTGGCGATGGAGACAGCAGCAATGGGAGGCCGTACAGGGACCCATGACCAGACTCTGGACTTGGCAGCCAGCATGAGGAGGCGGTATAGGGGCCCATGGCAGATTAGGGGCCTGGCGCAGCTATAAGGAGGCCCGTAATCTGCCAGCACCCTAGACAAAAAAATTTGAACACACCAGCAGTGTGAGGAGACCTGAAAGTGGCACATGGCATGAGACACTTGTGGACCTGGCAGCAGCATGAGGTTGAGTCGGTACGGGGGCCCATGGCAGATTAGGGGCCTGGCAGCAGCTATGGGAGGCCCGTAATCTGCCAGCACCCTATGACAAAAAATGGAACACACCAGCAGTGTGAGGAGACCTGAAAGTGGCACATGGCAGAGTGTGGCGATGGAGCAGCAGCAATGGGAGGCCGTACAGGGACCCATGAAGAGACTCTGGACTTGGCAGCAGCATGAGGAGGTGGTATAGGGGCCCATGGCAGATTAGAAGGGGCCAGGCAGCAGCAGCTATGGGAGTTTGGTTGCCCGTAATCCTGCCAGCCACCCTATGACAAAAAATGGAACACACCAGCAGTGTGAGGAGAACCTGGAAAGTGGCACATGGCAGGGGCATGAATTCATGGCGGATTTAGTCATTTGTGTCAGGAAATGGTGGTTTGAAATCCAGACTAATCCACGCTTGATTAATTTTCCAAACGTGAGTCTCTCCACAACTTTTGGGTGGACAGTTCGTGTCCTTCCGCGGAGTTGCAAAACCTACTGCCGCAACTAAACAACGGCGCTCCGATAGCCACGCTAACTGGCTGGGCATGATAGACAGCCTTTCAAGGGCAAATTCAGCTAGTTGGGGTCAAAGGTCAAGGTTACGTTGCCCAGTAAGTCCAAGGGGGATTGTTCTACCTCGGTTGGCAAGGGAGCAGTTCCAAGTAGGCCCAAAGCCTGTTGTTTGAAGTTCCTGCTTCCTGGTCTCACCTGATGCTGCTGTGCTGCTGCTGCTGCGGCTGATGTTAGTTTCTCACTGCGCTGTTGAAGGAAGAGCTACTCATCATCGACAGCAGACTGAGGCAGCTGCTGCTGGTAGGAGCTGCCACTCTCCTAACCACCGCGACCCCTCCCCTGTGCTGCCATGGGCAGCGGAACGCGGGAGCGCACCAGGGCCCACAGTGTCTGAGGGATGGAAGTGTTGGTCACAGACAGCAGGAAGAGACCAGCTGACTACATAGGTGGTTTTTATAGTACGTTATTTTAGCCTCCTCTCAGCAGGGTGTGAAAAGGCCACCATTTTTTTGACGGTTGGTAGCGAGGGTCCAACAAGGTGGACAGCCAAAAGTCATCCCTCTTGTCTGATGGTTATTATTTCGTGCCTGTACGCTACGCAAGAACCGAGCATGCTATGGGCCATTTTGTGCCAAGGGAATGCGAGGGACTCCCTGCCTCCATCTCCACAGCATACTGCCACGGTGCGTCTGGGTCCTCTGTCTCCTCTTCCTCCTGTCTCTACCAGATGTCTGCTCCTCCACTCCTGTCCGTGGAGTGGAAAACCACTCCAATTTCACTCAATAATTCCTGAGCACCAATGTCCTCTTCTACCTCCACCTCTTCTGCCTGTACATTTGCCCTCATCCCCCCACAGGGGTCATGTGGCGTAGAGAGCTGTGCGCCACGTCTACCGCACCCTGACCAGCATTGTTAACAGCAATTTGATTCCAGGACGTGCAACAGAGGGAATGAAAGTCGTTTCATCCCATAGTCCTGGCGACTCACGAATAGCGGTGGCCTCCTCAAAGGGCCTGAGCAAGCGCAGGTGTCCGCATTGAGCTGCCAATGGCTGACATCTCAGTTACACAGGGAGTACCTTTATCCGCTTTTAAACATTCAGGAAATCTGTGATGGGCTTTTGCTGTTCGAAAA